TAACGATTTGTTATATTAGACAGTGAGCTCCATGAGGACAGGGATGGGGCAGAGTTGCTAAACCTCACTGCTTCCTCCTTCCCCAAATATAGCAGCATACAAGCACACACTGTAGATGCTTAACAAGTCAACAAGTTTGCTGAATGAATGAGTACTATACAGGGGATTCCTGCTTAAAGAAATATTAGACTAGATGAGTTCTGAGTTCTGAGCCTTCCAGCTCTGAGCCCTGATTCTAAGTTCTTTAACTGACTTTATCATTATATAATTGTACTTATAGAATCATAAGTTTTTGAATTGAATGAAAATTTAAGTTTCATCTATTCTAACTTTCTTATTTTAGAGGTTAGGAAACTGAAGCATAGAGAAGTAAGATGATTTGCCCAAGTTGCAAAGTTTGTAAAAGAGCTGGGACTGAAAACCAGCTGTCCAAAACATTAATTCAACACACTTTTCAAGACCATCGCATGCCCAGACTACTGCAATAACCTTCTGGTTAATCTCCCTGCCTCAAACCTCTCACCACTCCAGTCCATCTTCCACTCAGCTATCAAAGAGATCTCTGTCACAGTTCAGATCAGAGGTCAGCCCCTCTACTCAATCAATTCCACTGGTTCCCTATCTATCTCTAGGAATATAAAAACCTTTTTTTGGTGCTCAAGCCTTTTATATTCTATCCCAGTGTACAATGTTAAGACTAGATTTTGAACAACTGATGTTTAACTACTTTTTGAAAAGTCTTTCATTCTTAATTAACCATACAAACTTTTTCAAGGACGATTCTATATTTTGGTTTTAGTAGATATATTAAAGTTAATCACACATTTTCCCTCTGCTTTTTTTTTGGGGGGTGAGGGATAGTTCAAATCTTTTAAACTATTGTGTGTGTGCGTTTTGCATATTTTTTCCCACTTAATAGTACTTTTTTTAATTACATGTAAAGATAGTTTTCAACATTAACTTTTATAAGATTTTGAGTTTTAATTTTTTTTCTTTCTCCCTCTTCTTCCCCCTTCTCAAGCAATCTCATATAGTCTATACATGTACAATCATATTAAACATATTTCCACGTTAGTCATGTTGTGAAAGAAGAAAAAAAACAAACAAAAAAGGAGAGCAAATACTATGCTTTGATCTGCTGTCAAACTCCACAGCTCTTTCTCTGGATGTGGATAGAATTTTCCTACTTGCCAAATCTTTGCAAAATTTGTAGGACTAAATATAAATACATTAATGCAGGTATTTTTAAAAGTGTGTTTCTGTACAGGTCAAAAATATCAGCCAATTAAATTAGCAAAATATTTTGTCAAGCTCCTTTCCAGTCTTCTTACAATCCATACCTTCCCCATCCCTCCTTGTACTTTTCAACCCAGTGATGAGTACCTGCTTGCTATCTGAGCACAAAACATTCTCTCCCAACTCCAAGGAATTTTCACTGGCTGTCCTTCATGCCTCCAACCTCTCTCTCCTCATCCAATCTTCTGGCTTCCCTGGCTTCCTTCTGGTCCAAGGGAAAATCCCAGCTCTAACAACAAGCTTTTCCCATCCCCCTAAATTCTAGTGCATTTCCTGTTGATTATCTCCAATTTGTCCTGTGTGCAGTTTGTACCTAGTTGCTTGCATGTTATCTCCCTCATTATCCTGTGAGTTCCTAAAGAGCAAGAACTCACTGGATGTTTCTTTGTGTTCCCAGTGCTTAGCACAATAAATGTTTATTGACTTACCTCCTACCTGTTAGTTGTTTTCTGGGAACACAAAAGATGGAAAAGCTAAAGAGTCCTTGCCCTTCTTAAGGAATCTCACAGTTTACTGGTGACTTGAGGCAGCAGTTGGGCATGGCAGTGGACAGAGTGCTGGGCCTGGAGTCAAGGAGATTTAAATTTGGCCTCAGACACTTACTAGCAGTGTGACACTGAGCGATTTGCTCCTGTTTGCCTTAGTTTCCACATCTGTAAAATGAAACAGAGAAGGGAAGGAAAACTACTCCAGTATCTCTGCCAAGAAAACCCCCAAATGAAGAGTAGGTCACAACTTAAAAATGACTGAACACGTGGGATGAGAAGGAAAGCTGTACTTAGTTTCCTTCCAACCCCAGGTATTACTAAATATTTACTGACTGACTTCAAACAAAATAACAGCAAAGCAAAACAAAAGCCTTTTACTTATCTAAAGACTAAAAGGAGTAGTAGTAGAAGCAGTACAAATCAGGACTGAGAGCAGAAATGTGGACTTTTGTAAACAAATCCCAAGGTTCAGGACTTAAAGGAAGGCACAGAAAGGCCCTGAGGTTCATGAGAAGGTGGTTTCTTGGTTTTAACACAAGCTTAAGGGAGCTCATTTTAAATTTTTATTCCCAATGCATATCATAGCTTGGCGTCCCTTAAATACTTAATAAAAACTTGTACATTTATTTGTTCATCTACTCATTCATACAATCAACAAAGAATGTCCCTCTACATATGCCTCCCATCATTATACCTTGTTTTCTTGAGAGTGAGACTGTTCTCCAAATTCCAGGAGACATGGTCACTGTAATTATAGGGACTAAAAGAACTCCTAGCTTAGTGGTTTACATGTTGTCTCCTCCATCAGACTGTGTGTTCCTTGACAGCTAGGACTGTCTTTGTATTTGCAGAGCTTAGTATAGTAGTAAGAATTTCTTAAGGATTTATTGACTGCCAGACCCAGTATTAGGTGCTAGGATACAAAGACAAAAATGCAACAATCCCTGCCCTCAAAGAACTTACAATAATTATCAGGGGTACATATAAGTATATAAAAAATCAACACAACATAATTTTTGAAAGAAAGGCACCAATAGCTTGGGACAGTGGGGCAGAGGGAGGGTCAAGAAAGGTTTCATGAATAAAATGGCAAGGGAAAGGAATACTGAAGAAAACTAGAGATAGTATACATTAGGATATATTGTTTAGCACAGGGGAGAGGAGGTGGGCATGATTTGATCTGTGGCATATTCCCATCTTTGGTTAACTGAGGCACTACCAAATGTGGTCCTACTGTATGTCCTCACAACTGCCAGTTCTTCCCCTCACTCCACCTAATACCTTGTATTTACTTGTTCATAATTCTTGTCTACTTATATATGCATACATAGCATCATGCCTGACACATAATCGGTGATTGATTAATTTTTTTGCAGATTGATTATGCGGCTCCATTTCCCCTTATCCTCACCCTACACACACACACACACACACACACACACATACACACACACACACACACACACACACACACACACACACACACACACACCACTGGGAGGGGAAATCCCTCTGAGCTTGTTCATGATCTGTCACAAGTGACCAAATATTCTAATGGCAAAAAGAAATCCTTCCCCTGAGGTGTAAGTAAACGCCCAACTTCCATGGTTCATGGGTGTGAGAGATGGAGATTTGATTGGAGCATTGATCCAATCCAGTTTTAAGTAGCAAGAAACCACTGCGTAATCCCTTGTTTGTATTTCTTAGAGGAATGACATAAGAAACACTTATTTCATTCCACACAATAATTCACTGCAATCCAAGAGAGCACAGTGAGGGCAACGCCATCTCCCAGCTGCTGATTACATCAAAGGTTTGCAGCCCAAATTCAATTTTATGATGTTAATCTCAGGCCTGCCACTCAGAAATTTTCTCTGAGGGATATGATTTTTCTCTGGATTTCATTTTAAGAATGATTTTCTTTGTCTACAATCAATAAAGATATGTTTTCATCAAAAGACTCTATCTTGGCAGAATTCAATTGGCCATTTCAATCCCTTTTGGTGACACAGTATTAATTAAAATAGTTTATGTTGCACCTCAACTGGAAAACAGGCAGTAAAAACAGCAGCCACTCAGAACATATGTACTAGATACATCAGCATGGAGGGCGGAAAATAATTTTCACCTCCTTGAGGTGACAGACATTAGCAATTCAAGAGAGATATGCCACACCTTGGCTCATTTCTGCAATCTTCCTGCAAGAAACAAAGCTGCTTCTGCTTTTATTTTTCTTTAAGAGGAAATCAAAATGTATGTAAGAGGGTTAAACAGCTAATTTCAAAAACACTCCTTCAAGGGCTCAGGAAGGAGAAAAATGGAACCATATAATAAAGCATTATTAACTGGAATTACAACAGTTTTTGACAGATAAATTCAGAACACATTGATAGAGCTTTGAAAAATCTGCTTTGGAGGACAATAAACGATTACTAAAATAGAATGATTTTCCTTCTGAAATAAGCAATATATGGACACTTACCATGGAAATTTTTTTTACCCTACATTAAGATGTTTAAAAAAAATAATGAATTGCAATATGGAAAGTCAAGTGGGTTTTACTTAGTCATAAAGCTTTGAAAGTCTGAAGAAACAGTATTTTTGTTGTTAAATCATTTTACTCTCTGTGACCTCATTTGGGTTTTCTTGGCAGAGATACTGGAATGGCTTGTCATTTTCTTCTCCAGTGGTTTTACAGGCAAGGAACTGAGGCAAACAGGGTTAAGTGAATTGTCCAGGGTCACACAGCTAGTTAAGTGTCTGAGGCCAGATTTAAACTCACAAAGGTGAGTCTTTCTGACTTCAGGCCCCACGATAGGCAGCTGCCCTAGACAGGGCAGTATGGCACACTGAAAAGAAGTGGATTTGAAGCCAGAGAACCTAAAAAGAAATCCTTTCTAGATCTCTCATTGACAGCCCTTGGTACCTTGGGCAAGTCTATTCCTATCTCTGGCCCTTGGTTTCATGATCTGTAAAATGAAGAAAGCTCTAAATTCACTATTCTATAACAACAAACAATCAAGTATAATATAAATTTTACACAACTTCTAGGGAATTTTTACTAAGTCATTGGATCATAAACTCAGGCATGGAGGGATATTAGTTATCTGTCTAACTCTTTAATATTATATATCAGGAACCTGAGGCCCATGGACATTGTGAATTGCCCTCCACACAGGTATCAAAAAACAGAATTCAAATCTAAGTCCTCCTTACTCCAGACCCATTACATTTCCAATGGAACACATCGTCTTCTGCACCATATTCCTTTCAGTTTCAGGGACTGGTGGCCCAAGTCATAATGAGAGAAGAACACAGATTTGGGCTACAAGGAAACTGTCAGTCTAAAAGAAAAAAAAATCCAAAAAACAGCAAGGTTAGAAGATATTGACAGAGAATTTCTCCAAAAGTATTATCCTGGGCCCTCTCCTCCATCCATACTATTTCAACTGGTTACCTCATCAGCTCCCATGGATTCAATTATTGTCTCTATGCTTATGATTCTCAAATCTATATTTCTAGCCCTTGTCTCTTGACTGACCTCCAGTCTTGCATTTCCAATTGCCTATTGGACATCTTGAACTGGATGTCCCATAGACATCTAAAATTCAACTTGTCTAAAACTGAACTCATCATCTGCCCATCTCTCCAAACATTCCCTTTTTCTTAACTTCCCATCACTATTAAGGATACCACCATCCTCCCAGGCACCAAGGCTTGTGACCTAAGTTTTATTTTCCACTCCTCATCTTCCTTCATCCTCCATATCCATCTGTTACCCAAGCCCGTGGCTTTCACAACCTCTCTTGCATAGAGCCCCTTTTCTTCATCACCCTGGCTCAGTAGGACAATTGCAACAGTCTTGCTTGATTGGGCTCACTGCCAAAATCTCTCTCCACTTCATTCAGCTGTCAAAGTGATCTTCCTAAAGTTTGAGTCATACCACATCATCCCTTCCCTACCCACTCAATCAACTTCAGTGGCTTCCAGTTATCTCTAGAATCAAATATAAAATCTGTTTAACATTCCAGCCTTCTTACACCTTATAGTCACAGTCCCTACCTCCATACTCTCAGATCCAGTGACACTGGCCTCTTTGCTATTCCTACAAAGCTCCACCCCACCCCCCATCTGTCCCTGGCTTCCTTAAATTCTCAGCTAAACTCTCACCTTCCATAAGAAACCTTTCCTGATCCTCCTTTATCCTAGTGCCTTCCCCGTTTTGATTATTTCCAATTTATCCTATATTTATCTTGCTTGTATGTTGTCTCTCCCATTAAACAGTGAGAGCCTTGAAACAACACTGGATTTAGGGTCAGGGCATCTGGATCCAAGAATGAACTCAGACACTTGCTGGCTGTGTAATCTAACCCCTTCTGAGATCCAGCTTCCTTATCTGTAAAAAAAAAAAAACAGGAACAATAATATCTACATCATATTTCTCAGCAGGTTGTTATCAAGAAAAGTGCTCCCCAGGCATCCTACTATTTGGCACATATGAGAAGGAAGTATCACTGGGGAAATATCTGGAAAAAAGGAATATTACTGAATATTATTGTACCATATGAGGCAGCAGGTTGCTCAGTGGATAGAGCAGTGGGCCTGCAGTCAGAAAGACCTGAATTCAAATCTGGCCTCAGACACATACTAGCTGTGTGATCCTGGGCAACTCACTTAACCTGTTTGCCTTAATTCACTGGAGGAGGAAATGGCAAACCATTCCAAGATATTTGCCAAGAAAACCCCATAGACATGGGCAGTACTGGTGTGATACGGCCCACATGATCATGAAGAGTTGGACACAACGGAACAACAACAACAACAATAAAAACAACAACAATGCTGTATCATAAGAAATCACAAACGAGGCATTCGCAGAAAGATGTGTACCTAAAGCAAAGCAGTGCTCAACCTTGACTGAGAAGGACTTAGGATGAAACATGGCCTCCTCCTCTTGGTAGAGAGGTAGAAGATTATAGGTACCAGATGAAACACCCTATTAGATTAGTCAATTTACTGGTTTGTTTTGCTGAACTATATTTCTTTACTACAAGGAGGTGTGGAAATAGTGGGAGGGCAGGGAGAGGAAGAATATACTAGGAAAATTTAAGGAAAGAGAACACTTTCAAGTAGATTATCGAAGATGTAGCCACAATATTTTAAAGTTAACTTTAGCGTCATTGTTTCTGCTGAATAAAAATATTTCCAACTACCTTTCCCTTAACAATACCACAAAAGTATACCTCCACTTAGATACAGGGACTATTTAGTGTACAGAAAAGGACACAATTACAATTTCATTCAAACCAAATTTCCTTTACATGCGATGCAAATTCACAAAATAAAACCCATCTACAACATTCATCAATTGATGCATGCTTCTCTCTCTGCAAGTCTTGACCTTAGATGTCCAACAGGATTATGCTGCTCACCATGGTCACCACTTCTGTTGTTTCTACATAGGTTCATAAGATCATATAGGATCAAATATAAAATTCATTGTTTCCAGTCTTTTTACACTTTGCTCCCCTCTACACATTGTAGCATTCAGTGACACTAGACTAGCTGTTCCTCCTTCTCCATCTCAGATGGAGATCAGGGCCTGGAAAATCTCCTGGCTTCCTTTAGGACTCTTTCAAGACTTCCTTCCAGACTCAGTTCAAATCCCATCTTTCGGAAGAGGCTGTTCTGTTCCTACATCCCCTCTTTGGCCCCTCCCACAGCTGATGCTTTCATATGAATTATCTCCATTAATATTGCACTTATCTTTGATCCAGCAATACCACTGCTAGGTTGTATCCTAAAGACATGGGGGAGGGAGAACCTATTTGTACCAAAATATTTATAGCAACTCTTTCTGTGGTCACTAAGAATTGGAAATCAAAGGGATGCTCATCAATTGGGGAACGGCTAAACAAGCCATTGTAAATGACAAGCAGAATGATTTCAGAAAAAAACCTGGAAAGACTTATATGAACTAATGAAAAGTGAAGTGAGCAGAACCAAGAGAACGTTGTACATAGTAACAGTAACATTGTATGATGAAGAACTTCTAAATGACTTAACTATTCTCAGCAGTATAATGATCCAAGACAATCCCAAAGGACTAATGATGAAGCATACTATCTGCTTCCAGAGAAAGAACTGATAATATCTGAATATAGACTGAAGCATGCTATTTTTCACTTTCTTTCATTTTTTTTTGAGTCTTCTTGTAGAGAATGACTAATATGGAAATGTTTTACATGACTGCACATATATAATCTATATTTGATTACTGTCTCAAGAAAGGGGGAGGGAAGGGAAGGAGGAAGGGATAGATTTTGGTACTCAAAACAAAAAGAAACTCAAATGTTTAAAAAAATGTTTTAACATGTAATTGGGGAAAAATAAAATACTATATATTTTAAAAATATTGTATTTATCTTGTAGGTATAGCTATTTGCTTGTGGTCTTCCCCATTAGAATGTGAGTTCCTGCCTGGCCAAGGCCAGAGTTTTTGCCTTTCTTTGTATTTCTAAAGCTTACTAGCCGGCCTACCACATAGTAAGTACTTAATACAACTGTTTGTTGACTGACTTCTCCCTCCCATTTTATTCTTTCTGGAAGGCAGTTAGAATGGCAGATCTCAGAAGGGAATTTGCATGAAGTCAAAAGAAGGGGACTTGGGGAAGAGAGATTTGCTTTACTAAGGACAAACCAAAAAGAAATATTAAATTTAATTATACCCTGAAGCTAATCTCCTTTACTTGACCTTGGAATGCTTTAGCATAAAACCCTGCTGACAGAGCCAGAGGAGTGTTTCCTTCATTGTTTTGAGTCTTAGTCAGCTATGTTGAAATGAAAAACAAAACTGTAATAATTAAGGGACAGTGAGTAAGGAGGTAGAAGGCTTCGCAATTGCACCCATCTGCTACAATTATCCCTCTCCAATAAGGCAGAAATAATCATTTTGCATTTTGGCATTTAGAGACGACCAGGGCAACTCCATAATTATTTTTCCCCTAGCACCCCAAGGCTTGGTACCTTCTATTTGAGACAAATGACTCCTACATATTTTTTTTATTACTGTCTTAACGATATTTAGTATAAACATTATGTGGAAGATTTCTTACATGAAAACTCTACTGTGTCTTAGCCTCCTTTTGTTTCTTCCCAAAGCAATTAGTGTAGGTCTGACCACAAAGCAGACGGTCAAAAAATATCCTTCATTGATTGGCTGGTGCCAATTGTCAATCGCCTTCCCTGGCTTCTTTTAAGTTCCGACTAAAATCCCATCTTTTCAGGAAGCCTTTCCCAACCCCTCTTAATACCAATGCATTCCCTGTTAATTATTTCTTATTTATCCTGTATACAGCTTGCGGGGGGGGGGGGGGAGGGGACGCGCGCCCGCGCTTGCATGTTCTCCCGCCACTTAGATTTGGAGCTGCTAGAGGGCGGTCACTATCTTTTGCCTCTTTCTGCATCCCCAGTATTAAGTAGGAGCTTAATTGGTCGAAATAGAGTAACCCCACACAGCGAAGTAAAGCAAAAGCTATGGATGCAAAGAGCTCTTTGCAGCTGCTTTTTACAAGGGAAGGTTTCATTCAGGCAGACACAGCCTAAACTTTGGTTCGCCGCAATCCGCTCGTCTCGGCGGAGGTGTGATTTCAAAACCACTGGGGAGACAACATGACAACCCCCCCCCCGTCCCCACTTTATAATTCGAGAAATGAGTCACCAAGGGTGTCTGACAGAAAAATAGGGGGAAAGTAATTCCCCAGCCCCTTCACACCTGCCCGGAAATAGACCACGGGCCAAATATAGGGTAACCCCGGACCCCAAGAAGGTGAACAAGACTTGTATAGGTGCAGTTTTTCCACCCAGAGAGGAAGCGTAAGGCGTTTGAAAAGCAGTTTAAAGATATTAACCGAAAGAAAGTCTTTAGGGGGAAGAATGTGCACCCTTTCCTTCCTGGGTATAGCAAAAGAGTAGGGAAGGAGGCCACTCCCACCCCGGACCCCTTGCCTGGGGGATATCTAAGAGGGGGACAAAATGGGGAGGGAGGATGACCCGGGCTGGGCATAAGCCTAGACAGCGCGGTTTAAGAAAGAGCGCGGCATTGAAGCGCAGGAAAGGAGAGACGCAGCAGCAGCAGCGGCGCTCACACCTTACCCCAGGCAGCCGGTTTGAGCCCTCCCTGTCCGATGTGCTGGAGGGAGGGGGCGCGCCTGCACCGGCCCGACTTTTATCCCCTGCTCGCCTAGCTGGGCGGCTCCCCGCTTCGCAGACACAAGACGAGCCCGCAGACCCCGCCTCGACTCCGTGCCGGCCCCGACTGCCCCCAGAGCTCGCCCAACCTGCTCTCCCTGCCGTGAGCTGCCCTTTCAGCCGCCAGCCAGACCGCTCTGCCTTGTTTCTCCTCCCAAACCCCTAGTTCTGGGAGAAAACAGGCCCCAGGGAAAGTGTCCCTGGCGCTACATGCTCTCTGGGGCTTAGAGGACCATGAAGAGAGAATTAAGGAAGGTCAAGTCTTGATAGAGCCCTGAGGAGGCAGTGGTCAGTAATAAGCATTTATTAAGCGCCTAAATATATCAGGCACTGGGCTAAGCTTCAGCTGGAGCAGGTTTAGTTAGGGCCAGGTTCGCTCTGGGAGGTGGTGGCTGGTTGTGAATTGCCTTAGACCTTGGATTTCAAATTCAATTAAGAAGCATTTATTAAGTGCCTACTATGGCTAAGGTAAAGGATATACCACCTTAAAGGAAGGGAGCTGGAGTTACTGATTTCCACGGATGGAGGAAGTTTCCACACCAGGAATTCCCTATACTGATGAACTTACAGATACCCCAGCTCCCTCAAAACCCAAAAGCAAAACGTGCAAGGAAATGTAAGGTACTGGTGATACAAATTCAAATACGAAAATCGGTTCCTACGCTTAATCTTCTGAGAACATATGAACACAAGGATAAGGAAACAGCAGATGATTTAAGGAGCAAAAAGCAGGAAGTTTCTTGCAGAAAATGGCACCTGAGATGAACCTTGAAGGAAGCTAAGAATTCTTAGAAGGTGGAGTTTAGGTGGGAAAGCATTCCAGGCATTCATGGGGGGTGGGGGGAGGCCCCTGTGCAAACATGCAAGTGTGGGAGGGAGAAGGGAGCAGATTGGCCAGTTTGGCTGGAACTTAACTGTCTATGAAGGAGAGTGATACGAAATGATTGTGGGGAATCAAGTCCATAAGATTTATTAAGTATCTATTTATGTGTCAAACACTGTATTAAACGCTGGTGACATCTATATTTATATCTATATATGTTGATATATATACACACATACACACATATATGTATGTATAATATACACATGGTACATACATATATGCATGCACACATACATATACACATACACAGGATAAATCAGAGCTAATGAGAGGGAAAGGTGCTCAGTTTAAGGAAAACTGGGAAAGGCTCACGAAGACTTTTGTTGACTTCTGGGAAACAAGGAGGCTGAGATGATAAGGAGTTGCAGGAATGGGAGAACAGCAAGTCAAATTTAATGCCTTGAGTCTGGAGATGGAATGCTCCATTGGAGGATCTTCAAGACAACCAGTGTCACTGGATTCCAGAGTATGTAGAGAGGAAAGAGGTGTAAGAAGACTGGAAAGTAGAAAGGAACTAGGTTATAAAGAGCTTTAAAAGAATTTCATACTTGATCCTGGAGCCAATGGGGAGGCACTTTAGTCTATTAAATAAAGGTAGTCTGGAGTCAAATAATGAATAAATGAATGGCAAAGCATTTATTATGCACTTATTCTATGCTGTGCCCCTGTCCTCAAGTAATTTAATTAGGAGAAATACCAGCACTTATAGAGGAAAAGTAACCCGAAAAAGTGTATTGTTCTGGGGAGGTACAAGTGGTGGGAGTAGGTGACCTGGGTTGATGAATGGATTGAATGTGAAACCAGGTCTGATTATCTAGGGGTAGCTGTAGATAAATTGGTGCAGTGGATTAGTTTGTACACACTTAGTCACTTATCAACTGAATTGGGTCCTGGCAAGGGAGCTCCATAAATGAATGGATTGCGTTTCCCAGGGAATGGAGTGTGGATTCAGGAAAACCTAGTGGGTAAGGCCAGGTGTTAAGTCCCAAGGTTGGGGGGGGTGGTACTGGAGGATGGTCCCCTTTCGTGAAGAAGTTATTCTGTAGTCTCATATCAGGTCTATGAGTCACAAACGATAAAAGGAATATAGACTTTTCAAATACATAGACTTCTAAAAGTAGGGGAAAAACACCCTGGTTAGCCCAAATTATTGTTCCTGCATTCTTTAAAAAATATAAGTATTATCTGTTTTTCCAGGATTATTTTACTACTACTTATTTTTACTTTACAAATTCCATTGGATTTTTTAGCCTTAGTTCTTGAGGCTCCCCAGGATGGTAGTAGTAGTAGTAGTAGTAGTAGTAGTAGTAGCAGTAGTAGCAGTAGTAGTAGTAAATAGCATTCTTTTTCTTTTTGTTGCTGTTGTTGTCGAAGCAATTGGGATTAAGTGACTTCCCCAGAGTCTCACAGCTAGTAAGTGTCTTGTATTTGAGACTGGATTGGAACTCACATCCTCCTGACTCCAAGGCCAGAGCTCTATCCACTGAGATGCCTAGCTGCCCCAGTAAATAGCATTCTTATAGAACTTGGAAGGTTTGCACATCATTTTACAAGTGTTATTAACATAGAAGTAACATGGGGACAGCTAGGTGGTGCAGTGGATAGAGCACTGGCCCTGGATTCAGGAGTACCTGAGTTCAAATAGGGCCTCAGACACATAACACTCACTAGCTGTGTGACCCTGGGCAAGTCACTTAACCCTGGTGCCTAACCAAAACAAACAAACAAATAAAAACATAGAATTAGCATTCCCTTTCTACAGTTAAGAATGTTCAGGACTGGGTAGTGCCAGGCACATAGGACATGCTTGGTAAATGCTTGTTGATCTTCTCCTAGCTAGGATGTTTCCAAGGAGGTCTTTTTCTACTTAGCCTGGAGTGATGACCTTGGGCAAGTCACTTATTTCTTTGAGCCTCAGTTTCCTTATCTATAAAATAGGGGATAAGGATGGTACTAGATGACATTTAGGGTCTCTTGAAGTTCTAAATCTATGGTTTTAACTCTGTTTTTGTTCCCTACTGGCCTAACAAAATAGCAGGTTTCCTAATTCCTAAAAATCTTGCAGTCTACCTCTTCTAACTTCTCCAATTATTTAAGAGTTCTCCTCACCACTCCACCTCATCCCAAACTGAAGGGCAGGGAAGTTGCCATTCCTTTGGTCTGTTTTGTACTCACAGAAAAGTACCAAACTCCTCCTTTACCCCATTTCTATAAGCAAAACATCTCCAGCCTCAGTTCTGTGAATCAGAAAACAAATGGTTGCTCACTTTATAATTCATTGAGCTACGGGTTTTGTTTGTAAAAGTGATTCAGGTGAATAGAGAAAAATTTCCCTGGTAGTTGTGTTACATTATTATGATACTTAGATTGTGCCCACATCTCCTCTTCTTAGTAAGACTAAACTATGTCTCCAGAGGTACCTGAGTAATTTGCTTTCTTTTCAACTAGATCTGGCTTATTAAAAGTACTGAACAAAAATAAGGCCTAAGGAAAAGAATGTAGTCAAACCAATTGAAACAAGCAAAAAGTATTTGTTAAACATCCATCCATGATGGTGCTGTGCTAAGAATTGAAGAGTTTGAGCTAATCCAAACAGAGTCTGGAATTTAAGCTAGGAAATAAAAAGGACTTGCAGGACTATAGAACTATTAGCCATCAAATGAATACTTCACAATTATGGATAGCTATTAAGCTCTAAACCTGATGAAAGTATAAACAAGGCTGCTGAAACAGAAAACTAACATCTGATATTTTCCTCATTAAGATTCCATGTTGCTTCAGAAAACTTTACACACACACATGCACACACACACACACACACACACACAGACACACACTGCCCAGGCTCCTTCTTGGTATCTGACCAATGAAGTTTTTTTCTATTTTGACTTTTTAAATCAAGCCTATCTATGTGACAGCTTGGTGTCCAGTGCCTGAGACAACAAAATAAGGTGTTTGCTTTAACTGTTCTGTCTCTTTTTGTACTTTTGTGCCTATTGTCACAGAATCACAAAATCTGAGACTTAGAAGGGAGCTCGGGTCCATCTAGTCCAATCTATACAGACAAGGAATTCTTAATACAATATGACCAACAAGTGATCAGCCTGAAGACCTCCACGGATGGGAACCTACCACCTATTGAGGAAGCCTTTGAGGTTGATTCTATGTCGCAGATCACTCCCTGAAAGAAATTTGGTTCCCTAATCAGAACTTAGGTCTTATCTGTGATATTTGGTCTGGTGTTTTACAACTCAAAGTATATTACACATTGATATTTAGATGATCTCATCCATAGTACTCCCTTTACCCATGTAAATCACCAGCAACAGTTAGAAATACTTTCACCTGGAGCACTGTAGGAAATGTAGGGTGGAGCTTATAGTACAGAGGACATTGGGCATGGCACTGGAGGTACAGAAGACTGACAGTCTGGTAGTGTCTGGTCGGATAGCAGCAGCTCAGAGGACAGTCCAACTATGTGTACAGTTTTTTGGGAAAGGGCATGGCCCATCCCACAGCTTTGCCGTGGGGTCAGTGAGCAATGCTGGTCCCTATGCAGAGAAGCACCAGGAAGGCAGGAATTTCAGAATGGGGCCAGGTGAGAGAGAAGGGGTTTGCTACCTGCACAGCACTGAATGTCTTTCAGACTGTTGTTGTTCATCCTTTGTTCCTAAGAGGACCAATGATGCCAGGAGGGTGATGTTTGGACTTGCAAGTGGATTGGATTTAAGTGAGGCAGAGCTGTGCAAAGTAATCAGCCTACGGGATCCTCCAGAGTCATTGGGATCCAGTGGCAAGACATAAGTCAAGATGACTAGTGATGGTCCCCTTCCAGATCAAAAGCACAAGGACGGCAGTATCCAGGCTCTATGTGCTCCCTGATATGTTAATGGTCTGAGTCAAACCCACCCATGAATTCTCATCCTTTGTAATTCTTATCCATGTTCTTCCATAAATCCACCATAGACTACTTACCCAATGCCCTGGACATTTTCCTCTAGATTTTTTTTTTTAATATTTAGAGATAGTAGTACAATACTCAGGTTTCCCATCTGTTATCTTTCACCTTCACTAAATGACTGGTCCACCTGCTTTTTAAATTAGATAATACCCTTGAGACTGTTCTGTGCATAAGTATGCTACAGTCTCTAAATGCCTTCCATGTGGCATTCCATTGCCCTTTAGGTCACCTGCAATTATGATTTTTTGGGATAATGGTTGATAATGGTTTTCTGATAGTGGTTCCTGTATGGCAGCTAAATGCTATCACCTGCTCCTGCTGACCATTCCTGTCTCTGCAACCTTGTCTAAAGTTTAGCTTCCTAATTCAGTTTCTCTAATCTATTGTCACCCTCTTGACCATACATGTAGGGTACAATAAGAAGGATGAATCGAGGTCTTAAGTTCATAGGTTTTAAAGATGAATCTTTGAAAGTCAAATTATTTTAGTTGCAAAGAGGTAAAAGTTTGCCGATACTGTGTACCTTTGAGGTTGGAAGTCACCT